ATAGGAACGGTGAGAATGGTGATGAACTGGACATTAAAAAGGTGCGTGCATGATGCACTTAAAACTCAATTGATTTTCAGAGTTATGACATTATTGTGACTATTTTCAAATGCAAAGAGAAATATGAGTGGATTTAAGGGTGAGATAGTGTATGTGGATAACACGTTGTTTATGGGAGTGAATGGACGATGGCGTGCATGGCGAGTGGATCATGAGGGTAGACAGAGGCAATGCGGCATAATACCGTCTGAATGGCGAGTACAGGAGGAAGAGGCATCCAGACAGCGTCGATCCAAAGGGCGAATCTCTGATATGAAACCGCTGAAACACCTCTATGAACGGGTTGAACGAGTACCGTCATCGCAAAGAAGACCTCTCGTTCTGGTGTCAGCCTATTTGGCACCTTTCATGCAAGCTCTCATCGATGAACACGGCGATAAGTGAGATGTTCAGTTGTCTATTGCTGTTCTTTTAAGTATATTGTTGCTGTTTTTTGCCATTATCAGATGGTTTTTATCGTTTCAGATAGTCTTATCGTATACTCTTATCTTATCAAGGCTTGTTTCACTTCGTTCATCCGCTTAACAGGTGTTATTGTAACCACCCCATACTGATGATTCCCATCGCATTATCCATCTATTAACTGCTCTTCACTACTGCGGAAAAGTGTTACAGATCATGAATGATAACGACTGAGAGCAGGCTTAATAAATTCAGATTAATATCACAAGTTATCAGTTTGAAAAGTGTTTAGATTTGCGCAGTGTGTGCCAGAATGCCGTGCGTTGAACGCGAGTGAAGGCGAAGGGGTTAGCACATCGGGACAATGGATTGAAGTAAATTTGATTCATCATTTGCTTTCATACTGACGATTCCCATTGCATCATGCATCTGTTTCAGTACAAATCTAATTGAGAATCCTCAATTGCTCTAAAAACAGTTGAAATTCTTCGATTGCTGCTAACTGCATTACAATAATCTCTTCTCAAACACCTCGGCAATGCCGAGCAAGAGTCTGTGGAATAGAATTGAAAAATCAGCCAAAATGACTATCGTTTCAATTCAGGTGCGAAGACGTGAACAGCTGTTCGAAGTGATATCAGTGAGTGCGCTAGAGCACATGATCTCGCAAGGATATCACTGCGTTCTTGATATTACACCACATGCAATTGTTCGATTGCACAGTTTAAGGATTTATCCGATTCTCATCCGGATCAAATTCAAATCCGCTAAACAGGTGTTATTATAGTGCTGTGTGATAATTTTCTCCAGAAATTTGTTGTTGTTGTTGTTGTCTTTTCAATGCAGATTTTTTCGAGCAGTAACCCGGTGATATTCTGAAATTCAAATTGTAAAACAAATTAATACACAATACTGTTTGCAAGCATAAATTCTGCTATCCATCAAGATGAATTGCTTAAAAAAAA